AATTGTTGCAACTACCTCAAAATAAACTGACAGAGACAAAGCCTATTCAACACAAAAGCATCAGTCGATTGTGCAGAAAAACGTTAGTCTTAAAAATAATCACTTTCAGTTATCCACTTCCTGTTTACCTGCAGTTGTACTTCAGCAGGCCGAGGTCCCACAGCTGGAGCAGGGCGGGGCCTCCGTACGTCTTGTTGAAAACGTGCTGGTCGTCCATCCCTCGGTGGCAGGAAACAGCGAGGTACTGCGAGGCCGGAGCTCCATCAGGGGTCGGACACCACTCCATGGCCCACACCGGCCCCCCCGCAAACAGGAGCATGTCCCAGCGCTCCGAGTGAGCCGGCACCGCAGAGAACCTGGAACACAAACACAAAGGCTTTCAAAAAATAAAAAATAAAAGGAAGATTTCACTTGAAAACGCCAAATCTGACTTTTTAAATATCGCTGAATTAACACTCAAACATAAATCTTACTTTATTTCAAATCTCCAACAAATCAACCTAATATAAACAATACCCTGGATCAAATCTAAACATTTTCTAAATCAGAAATAGATTATTTTAGCGTACTTCACAAGACAGCTTTGACTTACCTTAATGTTTGACCTTAAAAAGAGGCTTAAGGAGAACAAAATAAACCCAGAATATACACTATGTTATATAATATAACCAATTAAGAGAGAACAATTACAACAGTCAAAATGCATCAAAGTGGAATATGCAAATTCAATCATCCGTCCAATGAAAACCGAAATACAGATGAATCACTCAATGCTCAATTCTTTGAACAGAAAAAGCTTAATATAAATATCTCTTGTGATAACTGTGTTAACACACTCCAACAAGCATTGATAGAATTAAATATATTCAGCATTAAGGAGTCATAAATTGTGGAACGAGGTTTTTTCTGACGCATCTTTAGCCAGAGTCACTAAGTATATGTATATAGCAAAGCAATAAATTAGATATTGTTGAATGCTAAGTAGTATATTGTGTTAAGACATGTTATGTAATATTGTAATAAGATGCTCAGTGTGACCTGCTGAGTCTCTGCAGAGGCGTCTCCCCCTCCTCACTGAGGCCGTCTCTGGACACTCTGAAGGCCGCAGACTGGAGCTCCTGAGGAAGGTACTTCTCCACGTCACTGAAAAACACACGAGAAATAACAAGATAAATATATGATTTTGACTGATGACTGATTTTGATTGATGACTGATGATGCTGTATTAGGAGTACACACAACACCTGGCTGGATTATTATATAAAACGTATACTTGTTAAATTACCAAGTGCATATTTAAATCAGAGTAGTAATCATTTCACATTTTGGTGAGGTTTTGGTACCGTGATAAAACATTGTGCCTCAGTACAAAAGGGCAAATAAACAAACCATATCTTGCCACGTTGATACTCTAGCTTTGAGAACTAGAACTAGTCTAAAAAGGCCTGCTTGAATTAGACATTTGTGCATAAAATAACGTAAAGATCAGTCAAATTGATAGAAGTATTACTGCAATGGCCATTGTTTCTGTTAAGCACCTTTAAAGTGCATCATTGCAAAGTGTTCTCAACAAAAATACAACTTTAATATATGACTATGATCTTAATTTGATGACTTCACACCATCCATTAGTGTAGAAAAATCAAGTTAATGTATAGAGCACCTTTAAAAACACAATCATGACCAAAGTGCTTAATAAAAAGATTACATTAAAAGCATGTCTGATCAAAAAAACTAACGATGGCCATGCAAGTCTTCATAATGAAAACACTTGTCTTAAGAAAATACATCTTAAAGGAATCCACAGAGGGGGAAAAGCCTAACTGTTAGGGCCAAACTATTTCACACAATTTCACTTCAAATGTCCAATACTTTGTATCCTCTCACTAATAACAAACACAGGTCAAAGGTGAACTACCTCTGAGGAACGAGGTGCCAGTCGCTGGAGGAGGGGATCCACTTGGGGAACTCCCAGCTGCTGTAGTGCTCCTCCCGGCTGAAAACACACACATCACACACTCAAACACACACCCAAGATAACCAGCGCCGTGGTTACTGAGTGCTCGTCTCTAAATGTTTATTTGCAGAGCTGTTTGACATCAGTGAATCTTAATAACTGACTGCTACAGGGTGGATGTTTCTTCGATTAAGTGTAATGACACTTTGTGATGATAATTAATCTGCCATCTAAATATAAAAACAATAACCCAATGCTGACATTTCTGCCTGCACAGGTTTCTCTTTTGTTTTGCATGTTTGCACTAAAGCTGAAAGAGATTAACAAAATTGAAATATCTGAAATGTTTACGATCAAATCACGCAATATCTAAACTGTAGGGTTCACCATTAATGCTTTCAAATCAATTCATTAATCATAAGTAATGTGGATGTAATGACTAATGATAAAACAGTGTGGAGAATTCAGAGAAGTACATGACTTTACTTAAAAGCAGCATTTAAATTCAGGAAAGGAATACACTTAGAATATTACGATATCAAGTGTCATATAACAATATAGATGTATTGCATATCTTTTCAATCTTAGTTTAGCATTTATTCAGCAATGCGCAACATAAAGGTACAAATCATATAATTAATAATATTCTTCGTTAAAGCCACTTCGAGTTTTTTGTGAAAAGGTTGAATAACATTGTCACCTAGTGGCGACCTCTTTAGTTAAGGGGATATAAAAGACTTCTATAGAGTGCCACGGTGACGCGTCCTAAAACCAGGAAGTAAGCTCCTTCCGGTTCCTTCGACAAAAAGCAATGCAACTTCTTCTCAGGATTTTGGAAAATAGCTGGAGATAAGGTCTGTGGTTGAGACACATTGAAGAGAGGGATCACGTTTTGTTCAGCCGGATAATCTCCACATGTCTACCCTACTTTTATCATTTTCTAATCTAGTCGCCAGAAGCTAAATGCTAACGTTATGCTATAAAGGAACCACAGCAGGGTCGCTGCTTCAACGTCACGCCAACTTAAGATCCATATTCAAACATACAGATTCTAAATGGTTCAAGTTGAAGTGTTTGTCTGAACAGTCTGCAGGAGGCAGGGACTTGCTTTCAAGCAGAACAGGGCAAACAAACTTAGAGGAGTGTTTACGTGTTCGGTGTAATGACGTACAAAGACCTCGACAACTTCTGTAGTCCTATTCAGCCACTTGGTAACAACCATCATTTTTCAGACACGTCAACTCTTCAGAGATCACCAGTGGGGTCACTGCTGATGGGTTTAATGTGGTAGAACAAAACGTGATCCGTCTCTTCAATGTGTCTCAACCACAGACCTTAGTTCAGATACTTTCCAAAACCCTATGGAGAGATCCCATTGGCTCTGAGACGAGGGAACAGGAAGTGGAGAAATGCTAATTCACCTCCTGGTTTTAGGACTCGTCACTGCACCTCTCTATTGTCGCTCCTAGTTATTTAAGTTATTGGTAGACATTTTTTTTTTATAATAAAAATGTTTTTACTGCTTAAGCTCATCGTGTTTATGATTATTTGGTAATAATAGACGTAAAAACGTACAACCCCGAAGGAACTATTCAGCGGTAGAGTCTAACGGTTAGATATTTTAATCTTCATTTCTAATACATAATAAATGTGTTGCTATTCTACCAGTGTAAGCTTTATTTATTTAAATAATTTGTTATGTAGGGACGAACTCCAGTTCGCCTCTGCGTCAGGCCGTTGTGTCCTTGGGCAAGACACTTTACCCGCATTTGCTCCTGTGGGTAATGTCCACAGTAATGACATTTATATTTCTAATATGTGTAATATGTCATTGTAAAGCACTTTGAGCACCTGCAAAATGTAATGCATTATTATTATTATTATTATTATGTATTTCATTAATATATGCAATTTGCTCATTGTTATATTTTTTT